GGTGGTGTTAGCAAAGTGGTTCTGTTAGCAGTGTGGTGGTGTTAGCAGTGTTGTCCTGTTAGCAGCATGATCCTTATGTCTGTACGGTGGCAGAGTGACATCCTGCAGCGTTTCGGTCCCATATTGAGCTGAAATTTGGTTTGATGGTAGCTGAGAACAATCCCCAACATACTATGCATACGAATCATAAATTTAAGATGGCTGCCAAAGCTAGAAAGAAAAACAAAAGACTATAATTCATCAATTTTTAGATGTATGGAGCTAAAACCTGGTATGATTGTTGCTGAGAATGATTCCCAAGTCACACTGAATGCTAATCAAAAATCCAAGATGGCCACCAGAGCTCAATAGTAAAAATAAATGTATTTATGTCATTTTTATACATACTGAGCTGAAATAGGTATGGAAGTAGCAAAGCGAAATCCTCAATACGAGGTAAATGCAAATCAAAAACATTTAAAACTGGCATGCCCTGTCAACATTTCTCCACGAACTATTCTAGTTTGTTTAATTCAACTTGACAAAACAACAACAAAAACAAGTAGTTTCTTCTTTTTGCCAATAGTATCTTGTGGCTTGCTGTAGTTCTGCTGCTAAATGCAAAACAGGCAGATAATTTTAATGTCAAATTAGCTTCTCCTGTTCTCCTGACTTGATAAACCACACGGGCTCGCAGGAGTCAACTTCTAATTCTGACTTTACAAAAACAGAACGGGGTGAAGTCGTCGCCGTAATTCCCGTTGTCGTGTTCTCAGCCTGTAAGACGACAAACGCCATCCCACCTGCCAGCACAGCAAACATACACCGAACCAACATACCTGGCTGTACGCGCACCTTTTAAAGCCTCCCCCCCAAGGCCAAGAAAAGTAGAGCAAAATCTCTTTGGATACATAAAACAACAACAAAGCACTACGGCTCACGGGATTGTTGGTGTTTCTTAGCAGAGCAAACAAACTCAAACAAAAGCAGGATAGCCTCAAACAGGGAGGATAGACCAAGGTGTTGACATTCAAACCCTGAACGGGGGTTGTGTCCCAACTGACAGCCGGAAGCATGGCGTCAACAGGCTGAACTTGATTAAAATGCCGTTAGCGTCTCTGAAGGATGATCGTCGGACGCTGCGCTTCGACGCTGAGAATAAAACTTTGATTCTTTTCTGGTGGATAGTGACGCCTTGTGTGGGAAAACAACGTTGCATCACGCAAATCTTCCGAGGACCGCTCAGGTCTGATAAGGTTTTCATTAACAAACGTCACTAACACAACAAAGCCTAAAGTTCATCCCATTGGCATCAGAAGCATTTGTAATGTGTGTGTGTGTGGGGGGGGGGGGGGGGGGGGGAGACAGATGGGTGTGCATGTGTGTATGGGGGGTGTTTGGCGGTACTACCCCAGAAATTTTGGAATAAAGTAGATGCCATTTCCTGCACTCTGGTGTATTTTAACAGGTTGTTAAACATCTACGTTTACCTACATTAGTAAACACTTGATTCAGTAACTATTTTAGAGAGCACAAAACAAGAAGTAGCCTGACCAACAGTTCCCCTTGTGTGAACAGAACACACTCCGCTTCTCTCAAGCATCCTTGCACCCCCCGCCCCCACGTCAAAAACTCCCGAAACTAGCGTAGCGCTAAGCTAGCGGCGCACAATATTGACGCGTTAGCTGTGATGCTACAGATAGGCTATTAAGCTAGAGCTCCCCTTCTCTCATACATCGTCAACAACTGCCAGCAATAATGTGGCGCTAAGCTAGCGCACAAAACAGAGGCATCTCCCCACTAGCTTCGTGAGCGCCCTGCAAAGGCAGGTGGTCTCAGAGAAACACTGCATGCCGTGTGGAATTGTTGTAGGTAACCAAGAAAATCCGGAGTGGATTTTTAGCCCTTTGAGTATTCTCCTATTAATCAAGTGGAATGGATTTGTTCACGAAGAAATAGAAACAGCATTGAGTGAACTAACATTTCATGGTAAATGTGTGTGTGAGGAGGGGGCACGTCCCCTTCACATGTAATTGTTGCGACGCTTATGGTTCATCCTTATTCTTTCACAATCTTTCTCTGTTGAAATTAAATGTCTTAGAGGAGTGGTAGACGTGAACGATTCATAGTTTTGAGAAGAAAAACAGCAAATTTAAAAGGTAAAGTGATTTGTGATCAAATGTGAACGTTTAACATTTTGAACGTCCAAGCCTGTTTTTGTCTTCTTTAGAGGAGGAGAAACAAGACGTTCTGGTGGGTAAAAACTCTGAAAGTCCCTGAAGTTTCAAAACAAAGTGCGTAAATGTGAACGGGCGAGGATGCTTCCGATCCGGCTCCAGTTTTTAAGTTAAATCTGGGTTAAACTCGGTCCCGGCAAGGGAACCAACAGAAAGCACCTGCTGGATTCTCAAAGTCTTATCGGTCTGCCTACCTGTTCGCATCTTCAGCTGCAGCCACAGCCTGGTGATATCGTGGCACAGCTGAGACATTCGGTTTAAAGCCATGGTTTTGCCGCTGCATGCATGCCTCCCCCGTCTCCCCTTCTTCACACAAACACACACCCCTCCACACACTGGATCTGCTACAACCGACTCATGGAAAAGCCACTTTCTGTCAGAAAACGTCCCGGTGGAAGGTGAGGCAGTCCATTCCGGCGCAGCCGAGCACTTCAGCTGCTCACTGAGCTGTCACTGCGCCGCTCAGCCACCTCCCCCCTCCATCACCCTCCCCTCCCAGTGTACACCAGCCGGCAGGGGGAGGAGGATCGGAGGGTTCGCCTCCAGTTTCACATATCACCCTTTTACCAACAACAGAGAGAAACGGGAGTCATGTGCAAAGATGGATTAGCCTCAAAATTAAACACGTCTCCTCTTTGTCTTTTAATATTTTTATAACAATAAACTTTTCCAAAATGCAGCAAAAAGACAGAAGCAAATATTTAATGTCATAATGCATTAATAAACTAATACACTAATACATTAATCCATTAATGTATTAATGGATTAATGTTCCAGTAATCCTGAAATCATCTAAAAAATAAAAGAAAATTCAAATTCTGCACTTTGTGCAACGGTTAGAGCTCGAGTTAGAACTTTGTTTTCTTCAGCTTCTCTCTCTCTCACACACACAAACACACACACAAACATACACACACACACAATAACACACACGCACAAACACACACACATAAACACACACACACAATAACACACACACACACAAACACACACACACACACACGCAAACACACACACAATAACACACACACACAAACACACACACACACACGCAAACACACACACACGCAAACACACACACACACAATAACACACACACACAAAACAAACACACAATAACACACACACACAAACACACACACACACATAAACACACACACAATAACACACA